CAACAAAAAGCAAACTAAAAACGAGAGAGGAAGAAGCGATTGTATACATGGCGAACGTAACGTAATGAAAACCGGTCGGTCGAATCGGTAACATTATTCTTGGGTTTGTTCAACGAGCAAACAGGCAGGCTTACCGATCCGATAAACCCAATAAACGCAGTTTGTGGACAACAGTGCTCCGAGCATCGGCTAATCGCGCACGATAGAACAAAACGATGCTGCTACTTTTCCGGCACCTACTCGTTCGCGCACACCGCGTACATATACACATATACTCGAGAAACGAGTGGGGTACACGTGTATTTGTACGTGTGTAGTTGAAGCAGGATGTACGCGGGCGTATCGGAACGTATACAATCGATACACAAATCCGGCCAACCATACGAGAGAACACGATATATTCTCTTTTTGTCTTTTTTCCCAGTCGCCGCTTTCGTGGAATGCGCGGAATTTATCTGCGTTTATTTTTAGCTTTGCCGTGATTCGTGTACGTAGCCAAATTTACTATCTCAGCCACTGTCTTTTCCTAATTAATAGCTGAGATTTGCGTTAAATTTGACGGATGTATAAAAATGTTTTGCGGAAACAATTAAATGCGTGAAAAATTGCGCTATTTTTTAAAGAATAAATTTTTTCGTCATTATTAGAAATATTATAGAAAAATCTTTTTAATACATATGAATATAAAATATGTCTCTTTCTCTCTCTCTCTCTCTTTTTTTTTCTCATATTTTTAATTAAATATTTTAATTGAAAATTGTGTAATATTATACTATATGCTTTACTGCTATTTTTCTTTAATTTAATAGTAAATTTTTTTGCTAGAAAAATAATTCACAATGAGTCATGGTTATTATATTTACAAAAATTATATAATTCTAGAAATATAATTAATTCAAGAAATAATTTAAAACAACATTAATTATTATAATTTTTGCGCGTGAAAGCAATTAACAACCTTAAATTTGATTTTAGCAAAACAAAAAGAAATTAAACGGCTTTACTAAAAAAGTGAATGTAAAAATGTTGAGAAAAAATTTTATTTTATTTCTGTGTTCGGTATAAGCAAAACAACGACAGGAGTTAGTTGAGCTATTGAAAGATAGGCCGGCGGTAATAATGACGTTCTCTTCGGAGAACACAGGTCGGTTATAGAAGAACACGGTGTAATGACCTTCGTGGCCCAGATACTAGAAGGAAAATCGAAGCCGGGGGGACAGACATATTGGATGTTCCGAGGTGGTTTCGTCCGAAGCATTTTGTCCTACTTTTTTCTCTCTTTTTCTCAAAGTAGTAGGCTGCGATCTCTTATTGGGAACTTCCAATCTTTTCGAGACATGCGTGTATCTTAGAAAGGACCGACAGATTTCGCAGCAACCTAAATCTTTTCAAGTCGCTTAGTCGTAGCTTATGATTTTGCCGCTAAGGATATTTCGGAAAATATTGTGAAATTCAGCGTGAGCAAATTTATCGCAAGACAAAGATAAGAATAAATAGGATATTTTTATGTAAAGTAAATTTAGCTGATTCTCAAGTTATAATTTTTATAAATACCAGTTCTATATCTTATCTATTCTTTGTACAAGAAACTTTATTATAAACAGGAAAAGAATTAATAATATGTAATATGTATGTATATTAATAATATATAAAATCTGAAATTTTTATTTTAAATAAACACCTTTTTGAAATAAAATATAAGTATATCCAATGGTATAGAAAACTTTTGGAATTACAATTCTAATATAATATTAAAATAAATACAAAATTTTATTTGTTTAACTGCTGCAAAGAAGTTTAATCTTTAAAAGTCGAGCATTTAAAAATGATCGCACTTTGTTTTGCAACGTCGTTTTATCCGCGATTGCGACATCGAGAACAGACCGAAATAATTGCACGCTTCGCTTCTCGAGCAAAATAACTCGTCCCGGTAGAATAATAATTCGGGCTCTCGGGGACGTCCAATTTATCGTTCGCTTTATAGAATTAAAAGCTGCCGCCATCGGCGTCGCACACGGAGTATTAGAAGGAGAGGCGGTCGAGCGTAAGAGGGACACAAAGTATCGGGAGATAAATGAATTAAGAGGCCGAATGAATAATCTTAGGGGTACCAAGCCAGGAGGTACAAAGACCGTCGGTAGACTTTAGCCGCACGGCACTCAGCCTCTCCTCCTTTTCCTTTGCTCCTTAAGTCAATGGTTCTTAATCAAATGTCACGCACTCTTTAGAAAAGCCAGACCATGCGCTGGATTTTTGAAAGAACGCGCAGACGCTTTATTATCGGTCGGTGAAATAAAAATTTTCTCACGATCTTACGAAAATAAATGTTATATTTACTTTTATAAGGACGCGAGAAGATATATTTTGCGTCCGAGAAGTTGCAGACGTTGAAAGGATTAAGAACCACTGTCTCAGATCTTACGACACTGTCGTCGTCTTCGCCTCTTCCTCGATCTTCCTCTTTTTCACCCGCTTTGCTTCCGCATCACCGAACCACCCTTGAACAAGTCGGCGGCCGCCATTGTCTGAAAAGTTCCATTGAATTTTGAACTCCGGCTGTGCCGTCATAAAGGCTTCCCTGCCGGAATTAATGCGCGGGAAATGGAACTTTTATCGCACTCGCACGCGTGTGTCTTTCAGGGATTTCGCAACACGTACGCGTACATTAATAAGGAATCAGGCGGTGCGCGAGTTGAAATTTAGTTAAGATTGCATGCTTCTTACACGTGACGTCGCAGAACTATCGTATTTTGTTTTTGCAACTGACACACGTTTTCAATTGCACAAAAGTTGGTTGGGATAAATGTGGAGAAAGTAGCGAATATCGCGGATGTAGCGAAAATGTCGCGGGGCATAAATTAAGATGGATGAACAACGTCTTATTTCTACCGCGCTTTTAGCGAAATAATGAAAGCAAGTGAGGTCGAGATCCTGGTTACGAGCATCCTGGTGACATGTTGGAGCGGCATGACATAAGCTCAAGTAATTTGTCGCTTGGCAAATTGCCGCACTTTAGTATCGCTCGAGGACGAATTCTTCAGAGTACAAATGGTGGAAAGTTTACCAAGAAGTTAGGAATTAAGATCGATACCCTTTCGACGTTGCCGTACGGACCCATCGGTTTCTACACTCGTTCGAAAACGACGAAAATTCTCACGAACGCGGACAGCGTTCTCGGTATCGAGGTCATTCCGACGTGTCTGTTCATTCGCATGTACGGTAGCGATTATTCGTTCGCTTGTCGAGGTCAGGTGGAATGGATCGCCTATTACGAGTCCGATCGCACGAACGACGATATGGCGCAGTACTGGGTGATGTATCGCAGTGTTCGTTTCACGGGAGACGAGCACACGGCTCGTTTCCCCGACACGGGATTCATCTATCCGAAGTACACGAGTCGGCAGAGCGACACGCTCGTGTCGTCGAGAGTGCGCGTACCCACGCTCACCTCCACGACCACGACGTTTCGCACGGTCGCGTTGTCCGAAAAACCGATCAAGTACGGTTTCGTCTTCTCGTACGACAATTACGGTCTGATGCGACACTTTTACAAGTGTCCGCACATGTTGTACGATCCGTCCGACAAGACTTACGGCGTCTTCACGGTGGACGAGTACATTTTTTGCGATTACAATACGCACACAATAGACGTGTGGCAACGCGTGCGAAAGGAACTGCCGCTCTTCGACGCGATAATTTACACCGAAAAGTCGTACAAATGGCCGAAGCAGTCGGCCTATCAGGTCATGGTGCACATGCGTTGGAATTGCTCGACGCGACGACTCACGAGCGACGTGCAGCAGAGCGTGTCGAACAGCGACGCGATCGCTGAACTCTACCCTCCCGGCATCAAAGTGGTTTCCACGAACAACACCGTGATGTTATTGGAGAACGATCGACCGAAACTCGCCATGTATCCAGACGGTAGTAAAGATCTGAGCTCGCATTTTACGACCGAGTGGCGCGGCAACAATTACGAATTCGTTCACGACCACATAACGAATCAATTCTGGCTGAGCGAGTTGTGTATAGATCGCGGCAAATAGGTGCCGTGCGCGCGTGCGCACAGGATCCACGAGAATCCTATATGCCGCGTAGGATTCACCGTATCGCGAATCCTGAATTCGTCGCGAAACGCCTCCTGTTCGACGACTTTTTTTCAAACGTAAACGCGAATTATCGCGAAAATCGTGGCGCGACATATGGGACATTCGCCGGTTATTCTTTCGGCGCAGTTCAAGCAACATTTCAAATGACCGCACGGTAAAAAGAGAACGTCGCTCAACGCGTCGCGACACACGACGCAGTGATTGCAGAACGAATCGCACGACGTCGTCGTGATCGTTGTCGTCGTAGTCTTCGTCGATGTCGCGGCGGATGACGATTCGCGACGACGACGACTACGACGACGATTCCTGCTGGTCAAATCTGCGAGACATTCGGCTCGCGAGATCATTTGTCGGCGAGTGTTTTCCAATGTGCGCAGAGTCGCGGCTATCGTCGACGTTCTGTGATTCGTCAGAGTGAAGCACGAGTGACTGCACGCACACGCGGCTCTCGAAGCGACGAGCATTCGTTGATACAATACGTCTAATTCGGTCGCGAGTTTGCGATAAAACGATATCAAATTGCCGAACATAATATCCACTTGACCCTTCATCTCTTTGAGGGTTTTGTAATCGCGCAGGGTCGTATTCACGAGTGTTCCGTACACACAGAAAAATATCATTCTATTGCTAAGAAAAGTAATTACTCGGCTTACTTTTCTTTTTTTAAGTAACAATTATCTTTAATAAAGAATATTTTCTTGATAATAGTCTTAAAATATACTCATCACAAATTTTTGATAAACTCATTATCATATACTCAAAAGAAGTAGTTATTTTTTGGTGAAGAATATTATAAAATTGTATCGAAGAAAAGTCAGATTTGGTTAATTTAATAAGCAAATAGAATTCTTTTTCTAATTTAATATTCTTGATTAAAGTATTAAACTTACTGGGATCAAAATATATTTTGAATAAATTTGATGCTTATGATGAACTTACGATAGATTTGCGTATATATGAACTTATAAAATACTTAAAACAAGTAATATTTACTTAAATACAGTATGTATTTTTCTGTGTGTAGGAAGCGGACAACGATACGGACATAACGTCGTTATTGTCGTTTCTTCTCTTGGATCGAGGATTGTCCGTGCGCCACTCCGGTTGGTCGCGATAACATAAAATCAATGGACAATCGGGCGACCAGTATATATGCTCGACCAATGGATCGCACAGAGTCGTTCTTCCTCTTCTTCTTTCGTCTTCGACAATAACGATGTTTTCGTAATCGTCTTTCACCCCCTCTTTTTTCGCAGCGACGGCATTCTTATTCCAATTCTCGAGAGTTACTCCGCACGTGTAACACGTAACTATATCGTGCGTGCCTACGAAGAAAAAGCCGCGATAACTCAATTGTACCGACGATACGTTTTCATTGAGAGGCCACGCTGCGAACGATTGTCTACGAATGTCTATTCTCGAGTACATTGGAAATTTCACCTCCATTTCGTCGTCGTGTCGAGTGGTGATGAACACCTGCGTCGAGCGATACGCACGACGATGATTCGATCGATTGATTCGAATCACATTCGAGTGTTTAAAATACTTAATGAGACAACGCCGCCGTACAATTGTCATACGGTAACCACATCCTTTGAAGGTGGGGGGTTATCTCTCGCCACTACGACGTCGTAAAACCCCTCCACCGAAATATGTAGAACCTTAAAACCTCGACGTCGTTAGATGGATGATACATTGGTAAAAAAAATGCCAACCGATCGTGAGAATCGTCAAAGTGGTAGCGTTAACAACAACAATGATAGCAACGACGTGTCGAGGAATCTAGACACGATGGAATTGTACGTGACGCGAATGGAGAGTTTATTTAACGAATTCAATCGACTGAAACGTAAAATTACAAACGTCATGAGTATGATTTTGAAACACCGTAGTGTTAATCCGTTGGAAGCGAAGAGAGCTAAGATCGACAACGACGGCGATTCGTCATCGTCAACGACGTCCGCGTCGGACGACGACGAAGATTCGAACGTAGTCGTTGCTCCCCCCGAAACGACGACAACAACGTCAATTTTCACGCAACGAATTGCGCAACGGCAACAAGAAAATCAAACGATGATCGCGATACCGCAGCATCAGCAACAACAAACGACATCGTCGTCGTGTTCATCGTTGCTCTTCAATATGGACTACGAAATGATGAACGTCGCGGCAGCGACTACGGTAACTGCGAACGAGCAACAAGTGGATGCGACGCTACTCGAAAAGTAGGGTGCTATACACATGGTGCGGGAGGGTAACGAATGTAAGTGTAACATTGTTATCGATATTGATTTTTTCATATGCAATGACGACACTTGATATCACACACCTGTTGTTTCGCAGATTACATACAGCCGCGGCGAACGCTTAACGACGATGTGATTCCCGACGTGTCGACGCGGTTGATGCGAGATGCTCTGTCCATCTTACGACCGATCTGGAGACAGACGGACGTCTACGTCGCGACATTCGACACAGCGAAACATGGATCTAAAGTATTGTGTTCGAGAAATACCGGAGCGAAATATCTGAAACACTTTCTCGTGGATACCTTATCTGAACAATTTTTCATGTACGATAATCGCTATCCGTACTGGAAAGCGTCGACAGATAGGAGCGAGTGTGTCTACAGTGTCTACTTGACCAACGATTCGAGAAAAACGACGAAAAAGAATAATATTTCTAAATATATACTGCCTGTTTACACGACTATAGACAACAATGCACATCTCACATCCACGTTGTTATGCGTACCCTCGTTAAACCTGTTTATGTATATTCCGAACAAATTTTGTGAAATATTTATGATCGTTAAACGCGACAATTATGACGGCGACGTTCTCGAATATATCGTTCGTGGAATTAACGACACGGTGCGATACAAGCTTAGACTCACGACGAGCAACGACGACGATATCTATCATTACACGAATGGTGAAAAAATTATTGTTACTTTTACGGATATTGACGATTCGAACGACATATTGAACCCTGTTATCAACGGTGTGTACAGAGGCGATGACGATGCGTTGTACAATCCACCGATGTCGGAATAAATATTTTTTCGTAAAAAACGATGTATTTTTTTCACCTTCTATTTTTTCATATTGTTTTCAGGGTAACGTCGTAATATTGCGAACGAGAGCGTTTAATCGCGATTGAACGCCGATCAGTCTCACGTCGGTTTTCGCGTCGAAAATTACCGTGGAGATGAAATATTTTTCGCGCCATTTTCCAGATTTCATTTCGCGCAAGATATCGTCTTCGTATATTCGTTTGTCGGAAACGCTTTTTGCGCGCACACCGGATAAAATTGGAATTGATCGGGTCATGACTCTGAACAGAGACGATTTCGGTAGCGTCGACGTTGACGAGTCTTTTCGCCTCTCGACACTCCACACACGAGACATCGGTAGCGAAACGACGTTGTCGCGAGTTCGCGCGTTTCTTACGCTATCGTCGAATCGTATCACGAAGTGTTGACGATCGAATTTTTGCAAATCGGACCATGCCGATCGATACGACAATCCATACAGACCACCGTTCTCGTTGAGAAGATCGGACAACTCGAACCCTATCGAAAGTTCGGAACAATCTTCGGCGACTATCGCTATCGTCGAATCGTTTAGCGTCATCAGAGTGACGAGAGGAACGTTCGTTACTTTAAAAAAAAATATTGGTGGCCGTCGACCAAGCGGAAAAAATTTTCTCGTCGATCTCAATACGCCGGCGTGTGTCGTTTTTATCGATTAGAAACGACGTTAGCGACGATGTCGTTTGTCGCGCGAATAACATTGCTACTGCTGCCGTTACTGCTACCGACAACACCAACGACGACGACGACGACAACGGTAATATCTCTCGGCGAATCTCTTCTGCCAGTTCGAGAGATACGCGTGGAATTTTGCGCGTACGACGTGCGTTACTATCAGTGGCGTTTCGAGCGAACGACTTTCAATCGCATATATATCGACGAATCAATTCTTCGCGAACGTATCGTATTGACGTCGTGCAACGGTGATTGAATGGAAAATTATGAATTCGCGTTATCGTTACTCGACGAAATCATCGACACTTTGCATCGATGGTGGGCTCTTAACGTTCGATGGATTCGCGTCTCGAATATACGTTCGAGCGACGTGGCGATTGTTCCAACGACGGAGAAGTACGATACTACTTCGCGATCGACCAATGACAGAATATTCGTACTCACGGATAACGATTCGTACGTTTTGCACGAGGGATCTTCGTTATCGAGAAGATGTTATCGTTATCGCTTCAACGACGAAGACGCGGCTAAAGATTTAACGATATTACTTTTACGCGCGATCGCTTCGTATCACGGCTTGTTACGTAACAATAACTGCGATGGACTTTTGAGCAGCGACGTCGATATCGCCGCAGCCACTCATCGACGTCCCACGCGAAATGAAATTACGGCGATGTCCGTGTTGTTCGAATACGCGAAATCAACACGCAGCGAACGTTCTTCGGACGACGCGATACGTCGTATCGTTAAGAAGGAACTCTCTCGACTCATTATAGATTCTTACAACGTGATACGAGAGGTTTGAAAAAACAGGAACTCACGTTTTCGACACTTCGGAAGTAGCTTCCGCCGTGTCTCGATTAACTTCATTTTTATCGACGACAATCGTCTGGTCGATCACGTCACGATTTTTATCGTCGTCGTTATTAGCGACAGTGGCGTCGATTGTCGCCGTCGTCTCGTCACGATTGTTATCGGTGTTAATCGCCACTTTCGTATGCTTATCGCTTTTATCGCTGTCATTATCATCGATGTTGTCGTTTTTATCATTACTGTCGCTATCACCGTCGTTACCTAGCTGCTTTGATTCGATAATCGAGTGACTCTCGACGACGTCGCTCAGCCGCCGTGAAAAAAAAAAATAAATAAATTATCAATAAATTATTTGCACCGATCTATCTATCATTTACCATGTCAATCTATCATTACTGCCGAAGTTTCTTCGAATTGACTGTTTCAGTAATAATTTCATCCTCGGAGGTTTCGTAGTTTAATTTTATCAAACTTGTTAAAATTATGTTAATAAAATATCTACAAAATTTTGTAATATTTAAACGGCAATATTTTTGCAATTGTCTTCAAAAAATTGTAAATACAACTCTAAAAATACAACAATACATGAATACAGCTCTAAAAATACAACAATACATGAATTCGTAATCACGAAAATGTTTAAACAGTCTTTGATAATACAGCGGAGCACAAAACTCGAGGAAGTGCCGACACTTTAGCAAATCAGCTACATTAATCCCGCGGAACTTTTACAGCTCATAAATCGTCGGACGTGTCCTCCAAGTGACGATGAGCGATCGTTACTCGAGCTTCGTCCACTCAATTGCTTCGCGGTTTGAACCGCGCATAGAAACGGTGAATCAGTTGAATATTTTATCGTGCTTTACTTGAAGTGCATTTACCATACTCTACGAGAAAGTTAAATAAAAACTTCGAGTAAGCTATACTAATTAAGAATTGAAGAGAAGTTTACGGATGATCACTAGTGATCGATGATGCTTGAATGGACTTTTGACTACGTTATAGTAATCTGAAAAGCTATGTAATCAAAAATAGATTATAATATTTGGAGCGGTTATCACAAGTAATTTGTTATTGATTATAAAGTATAATTAATTGAATCATTTTATTTTATTTGTGCAAAATTGTTTATAAAATTTTGAAGTAGGATAAATTAATATATATGATAGTAATATTATTTTTCCTAATTATACATTAAAAGATTATTTAAAATTTTTTGACGAATAATAAGAAGAATTTTAGTAAATTTTGTAATGTAAAAAATAGTTTTCAAATTATATAACAGTGATATTGCTGACTTTGATTGCTATATTTAATACCTTGATTCATAGTCTAAAAATTTTCGTTCTTACCAGTTAATATAAAAATAATATAATATCAAATCATTATTGATACTGTAAAATTTTGGCTTAAATTTCAATGTCATAAACTCAATTTACAGATCGGTATGTTGTAAAGAGGTTTGCTAATCATGGCACAAAGTATTTTAGAGATTTTTTAAAAGAAATACGACAAACTACGTCTCAATCTGTTTGAAAGCTGTGTACCTCATAAAGAGCCGACACGGCACTTGCTATCGCAGCCTCTTCGTATTTTTCTATCCCATCGACATGCTACGAGCCTTCTTGAACTTCGATTATCCGCCGCGCTAGCGAAATTAACAGAAGAGTCGAGCACGCCAGCAGCCGGATGGATCCAATTTCCACTGTTCGATACGGCGAAGTAAATGTCCCGGTCGGTTAACGTTTCCGGCACGAATGGAAATTAGATCCCGGCGGCTAATGAGCGCGATCAACGAGAAAAACACGGAGATGAAAGAATAACATTCTTTGCGTCGATAACAATAGCAACACTTTAATCCGTTGCATTAGTGAAACATCGAGAAACAGTGGCAAATCGGAACAATTTAAAATTTAAAAAAACTTAATGTTGCGAATATATAGAGGGTGTCTGGCAATAATCGCCCCACCGGTCATATACAGGTAGAGGAGGTCAAATCGAGTAGAAAAGTCCTTTACCATTTTTTAATTTTCATAATAAGTACTGAGTAATTAACGAAAAAAGATCGGCGAATCCGCGCGAGTAAAGCGCGCGCGGTGAAAAGGACGTCCCACTGCTACGCGATCACTAGGACACAAGGATCTAGCGTTACGCGCCGCTCGTATGTTGCCATGTCATTTGTAGAGCGCTCCCTCC